ACTGAAGCTGGCAGGAGACAATACCATCCCCCACCCCCACCCCCCCGCTTGTGGGAACATGTGTTCAGTGCGCTGAGAAACCTCCGTTGGCTTCCAGGAACTTTCCCAAAGCCTGCGAACTGTGGGAACAGATTCTCCGGGACCACCCGACGGACATGTTGGCCCTGAAGTTTTCCCACGACGCCTACTTTTACCTGGGCTACCAGGAGCAGATGCGGGATTCCGTGGCCCGAGTTTACCCCTTCTGGACACCTGACATCCCCCTTAGCAGGTATGTGCCGTTGGAAACCACGTGCTTCTATCTCTTAGTCTCTCCTCTGCCCTGAAAACGTGGCGACGCTCCTGGTGTCCCCCTAAAACGTGAGACCGTGGTTGCCGTTCTAGTTCTTTCACGTGAGAAGCCTTCATTTTCTGCATGCGATNGTGGTTGCCGTTCTAGTTCTTTCACGTGAGAAGCCTTCATTTTCTGCGTGCGACCTTCTCGCCGTCCTGGGAAGGAGGTAGTACTTTGTGCGTCAGTCAGCACGGGGCAGTTTTTGCGGCAGGGACAGCGTGCGGCAGGCCTGATTCTCCAGGGCTCATTTCTGCGAAGGTTTGTGGCCCAGACGTACCGNGAAAGATAAAGTTTACAGAACAAAACCGGCAACAGCGGCCGCACTGCGGGCGCACAGATACCGCACGAGCTGATCCGGGACGTTGGCGATTCCATCGCTTCGCGTTATGAGCAGCGCCTGGACCAGGACAGTCATCAGTTTGAAAACAGGCGTTGACCAAAAAAAAACTATTCATTTCTGTAGATTCTTTTAAATTTTGAAATTGAGCTGTATGTTAATCAACACGGACTTTATAATCATTCAAAGCGTGTACACATTTTTGGGGACACCNGGACATGTTGGCCCTGAAGTTTTCCCACGACGCCTACTTTTACCTGGGCTACCAGGAGCAGATGCGGGATTCCGTGGCCCGAGTTTACCCCTTCTGGACACCTGACATCCCCCTTAGCAGGTATGTGCCGTTGGAAACCACGTGCTTCTATCTCTTAGTCTCTCCTCTGCCCTGAAAACGTGGCGACGCTCCTGGTGTCCCCCTAAAACGTGAGACCGTGGTTGCCGTTCTAGTTCTTTCACGCGAGAAGCCTTCATTTTCTGCGTGCGACCTTCTCGCCGTCCTGGGAAGGAGGTAGTACTTTGTGCGTCAGTCAGCACGGGGCAGTTTTTGCGGCAGGGACAGCGTGCGGCAGGCCTGATTCTCCGGGGCTCATTTCTGTGAAGGTTTGTGGCCCAGACGTACCACCTGCCCGTCGCAGGGCGGCTGAGGCTCTGTGCCCCTGCCGCTGTCTCCCTCTGGGATCCTGGCTGGTGAAGCACCGGCGCTCGGGGCACGCCGGTCGCTAAGAGGGAAAGAGAGCTCTCCTGGGGTTTCCCGGCGGCATTGAAGCACTCAGAGTGGAAGGGACACCCTGCCACTCCCAAGCCATTGGCCAGAGCTGGCCACCCGCCCACAGGAGCCCAGGAAGGGCAGCTCTACTGTGTGCTTGGAGGAGAGGGGCCTGGAGGGTCTGGGAGCAGCCCAAGTGACCACTGCACGGGGTCACCGCCATTGCATCTTTTTTATGCTTTTAAAAAATATATTAGTTTTTTCATTGATTTTAGAGAGAGAGGAAGAGAGAGAGAGACATAGAAACATCGATGAGAGAGAAACATCCGTAGGCGGCCTCCTGCATGCCCCCTACTGGGGATCCAGCCGAAACCTGGGCGCGTGCCCTGACCAGGAATGAAACGGTGACCTCTTGGTGCTCAACCACTGAGCCGCATCGGCCGGGCACCTCCAGTGCATCGTAGTCAAAGGATTGCTATGAAGGTCCAACAGGTGAGTGGACTGAAGAGCCGTGTTAGTGAGGGTTCTCCAGCGAAGCAGAACCAGTGCAATGTGTGTATCTATATTTATGTTGTTTACATCTGTATGTCAGTGTCAGCATCTATATCTATCTATGTATAGAGAGGTTTATTTCAGGGAGTTGGCTCAGGCTATTGTGGGGACCAGCAAGTCCAAAATCCACAGGACAGGCAGAGCCTGGAAACTCAGGTAGAGTTTCTATGTTGCGATCTCTGGAGACAGGCTTCCTTCCTCTTCTGGGAGGTCAGTCTTTTCTCTCAAGCCTTCGACTGATTGGACGAGGCCCACCCACCCACGTTATGGAGGGTAGTCTGCTTTACTCAAAGTCTACTGGTTTAAACGTTAATCACACCTAAAAAACTACCTCTACAGCAGCATCGAGAAAGTGTCTTACAAAATAACTGGGCACTGTGGCCCAGCCAAGGTGATGCGTCAGATTAACCACCACAGGAGCCTAATAGTAGTGGCGTATCATGAGCATGCAATACATGTTTAAATGTTGGCCGTGACATGACCCCAGTAAGAGCTCCATGAATATTTAAAAGCAAAGTCTGGAAGGCAGTGCTCTAGAATGCTGCTCCCATGAATAATAGAAGCCGGAGTTTATCTCTGTACTTGGGGAGAAAGACACCACCTGGGCTCCAATAGGAACTCCACCCTTCTGTCTGCTTTCACGCAGCCCCACGAAAGCAGGGAAGGAACCGGCTCTCAGGCGCCAGTGGTTACAGATGAGAAATGAAAGTGCATTTGGTCAGTGGGGGGGTCTCTTTTGTTGTTAATCCCTACCCGAGGCTATTTTTTCCATTGATTTTTAGAGAGAGTGAAAGGGGGGGAGGAGAGAGAGAAACAATAATGTGGGAGAGAGACATCGCTTGGTCGCCTCCCGCACACTCCCGGACCGGGGCCTGGGATCAGACCTGCACCCTACGTACATGCCCTTGACCGGGAATGGAACCTGTGACCTTCTGGTGCCCAGGCAGATGCCCTGACCGTGGAGCCACCCTGGCCAGGGCAGTGATGTGTCATCAAGCCCGTCCTCAGCTGGGCCTGGGCCAAGGGTGACTGGGACAGAGGGGTCCCAGCCTCCAGGAGCTGGGGTCTGGGAAGAAGCTGTGCACAGTGCTGCTGACAGCCCACAGTCACCGTGGCTCCCCAGGAGGTGTCCCTGAGCTGTTCCTCCTGGTGGGCATCACCAAGCGGACAGGAGGGAGAAGTCCCTCGTCAGTCCAGGGGAGACGTCACCGGCTTAGGAGGCGGCATGTGAATCGCAGAGGGTCTGCCGTGGAGACAGGGTTTGGGTTTGGGACAATCATGCAGATGATAAAGGTCACACCACTCACGCCTCCCCACCAGAAGCCCTGGATCTCTGGGAAACACTGTGCGTGGTGTGGTGCCCGGCGCAAGGCCAACACCTGGCTGGCACATGTATGTCTCTTGGCACCTCCATAACAAAGTGCCACAGACTGAGTGGCTTAAAACCACAGAAATTTAGCCCAGCTGGCGTGGCTCAGCAGTTCAGCGTCGACCCAAGAGCCAGGAGGTCACGGTTCGATTCCGGGTCAGGGCACATGCCCGGGTTGCGGCCTCGGNGCACAGTGCTGCTGACAGCCCACAGTCACCGTGGCTCCCCAGGAGGTGTCCCTGAGCTGTTCCTCCTGGTGGGCATCACCAAGCGGACAGGAGGGAGAAGTCCCTCGTCAGTCCAGGGGAGACGTCACCGGCTTAGGAGGCGGCATGTGAATCGCAGAGGGTCTGCCGTGGAGACAGGGTTTGGGTTTGGGACAATCATGCAGATGATAAAGGTCACACCACTCACGCCTCCCCACCAGAAGCCCTGGATCTCTGGGAAACACTGTGCATGGTGTGGTGCCCGGCGCAAGGCCAACACCTGGCTGGCACATGTATGTCTCTTGGCACCTCCATAACAAAGTGCCACAGACTGAGTGGCTTAAAACCACAGAAATTTAGCCCAGCTGGCGTGGCTCAGCAGTTCAGCGTCGACCCAAGAGCCAGGAGGTCACGGTTCGATTCCGGGTCAGGGCACAGGCCCGGGTTGCGGCCTCGGTCCCCAGGAGGGGGCGTGCAGGAGGCAGCCGATCAGGGACTCTCATCATTGATGTTTCTCTCTCTGCGTCTCCCTTTGTCTTCCTCTCTCTGAAATCAATAAAAACATATTTTAAAAAAACAACAACAGACATTCATTCTTCCGAAGTTCTAGAGGCCACAAGTGTGAAACCCCGGTGTGGGTGGGACCGGGCTCCCTCGAGGCTCTGGGGGAGTCCTTCCTGCCCCTCCCAGCTCTGGGTGGCTCCCTCGGCTTCCCGGGCTCACGGCTGTGTTACTCCAGCCTCTGCTCTGTCCTCACGTGGCTGTCTGTCCTTGTGTGTCTGAGTCTCTGTGTCCATACCTCCTCTCCCTTCTCTTATCATGAGGACGCCGGCCACCGGAGTTGGGACCACCCTGCTCCAGTCTGACCTCTTCTTAGCTAGATTGCATCTGCACACACCTCGATTCCAAGATAGGATGCGGGTTCACGCCGATCACCCGGGGGCTACATTCAGCCCACACGGGTCGTGCTGAGGGCTGAATGATCCCCACCCACTTTTTAAAAAAGATTTTTGTTCTGTCTTTAGCTATGTGAAGGGCATCTATTCCTTTGGATTGATGGAGACCAACTTCTACGACCAGGCAGAGAAGCTCGCCAAAGAGGTGGGTGGGCCTCCCAAGGGGCTGACCCCCCTGGCCGGGCCTCCTGAGCCAGCCCTGGCTCCCCAGCATGCTACCCCCAGATGCTCTTTCCCCCAGATGCTACCCGAGTTGGCCCCCATTACCACTCCCTAAGAGACAGCCAGCATCCTGCAGGGACCCAGGTGCCCATGGGGTGTATGAAGACTGTTTTGGCTACAGAAATGGAGCCCAGACTTGAGCGCAGGGGGCTGGGTTGTGTGCTTTAGCCCTGAGTCAGGGCTTGGGGGGACCTGGGCTCTGGCTCATGGTCTGGGGGTTCAGCCAACAGGAAGGTCCCCTGGAGACCATGACAGCTGGGCCTCCTCGTTGGGTGGCATCCATCTGAGCACCTGCGGGCTGGCAGGATGGTCTGAGAAGCCAGAGGTTGGCCAGAGGTGCAGGAAGTGGGGAAGTGGGCTGCCCCGCTCTGTTCCCTTCAGGCCCCTTTTTGTGCTCTGTCCCCTCTTGCAAGCGCCCACAGGCTGACCCCAACACCAGCACACCACAGGTGGCTACTGGGCAAGGCTCAGCTGTGACAGTGACCACCAGGAATCTAGGAGAGCAGGAGTCGGCTGCACCGGGCTCCACTGGAGTCTGGAGAGGTCTTGGGTGGAGGTGCCTGGGCCAGGGGTCTGCAGACCTAGCCCCAGGGGCAGGAAGCGCAGAGGGTGGCCAGCCTGGAGGCAAAGCAGACCAGTCGGACAGGCCAGGCCTAGGGCCCAGCTGGGTGGGGCGGCCCTGGGAGCAAAGGCTGGGAGGTGGGCAAGGCAAGATCTGCTGAAGGGAGTGTGGACTTTGTCCCAGGGAACCTCTCAGAGGGGTGGGGCCCTAATCTCAGCAGGGGGTTGAGAGCTCCCGCCCTGAATCACGCCCTGTTTGGTGTGAGAGTAACGTGCTTCGTGGGTCCCTGGCACCCCAGCCCTCTTGACTTTGCCCCTGCAGCCTCCTGAGTGTCCTGGTCCTTCAGGGCTGTGCCGCAGATGCCAGCATCCCTATAAGCATGCTCTTTCCCATAGTGCCCCCCAGCAGACTGGGCAGGGCCCATGCAAGCAGGGGACAGGAGCATGGGGGCAGGGGCAGGGCTTAGTGGGGACCACCTGTCCACATAGACCCCAGCAGCAGGTACCAGGCCTTCCCGCCTCTGCCTCTGTGAAGGGCCTGGGGTCTGAGGCAGCAGGGTTGGGGGGAACTGAGACCTGGTGTGGGGCCCTGGGCCTGTGTGGATTGTCCACAGGACCACCAAGAGCATCAGCTGACTGTTCCATGCCCAGCGCTTAGTAGGCGCTCAGAAAACACAAGCAAAAGAACAAGGCTGCTATGTGGTTAAAATCATAGCCTCATGTCCCGCCTCCCTTGTTGGTCACCTTCGAGCTCATCGGCCACGTGAGCAGCTACTTTTATTAATAGTAATAAATCGGCCCTGGCTGGTTTTGCTCAGTGGTTAGAGCACTGACCTGCAGACTGAAGGGTCTTGGGTTTAATTCCTGGTCAAGGGCACGTACTTGGGTTGCAGGCTCAATCCCCAGCCCCGGTTGGGGCGAGGGGGGGAGACAACCAATTGATGTGTCTCTCACATCGATGTTTCTCTCTGTCTCTTCCCCTCCATTCCACTCTCTCTAAAATAATAATAAAAATAACATCAGAACAGCCCAGAAAGTTACACATGTGGTCATCACAGGTGTGCTGGGGGGAAGGGGCCGCCCAGAGCCCCTGGGGCACTTGGCAGTCTATACAGCATGGGCACATGCAGTGTCCCAGGGGTGACACGGGCCCGAAGAGGCCGATTGGCATGTTGTAGGGGAGTCAGCTGAACCCAGGAGACTGTGGGGCCAGGGGGATGAGTCCTGGCTTTGGGAAGACCCTGCTCTGTGGTCCCAGGCAGGTCTCTTAGTCCCATCTGTGAAATGGGCAGTGACACTCTCTTTGGCAGCAGCTTGCAGGTGGTCCACAGGGCCGGTCTTCGGGGCCGTTGTTGTTTTGAGGCCGAGCCCCGTCCCCACACCTGCCTCGCCCCAATACCCGGCTGCCCAGCTCAGGCCCTTGTGCATAACTCGGAGACGCCTGGTCGCCTGGCAGCCCGAATGACCCATGTCGTCTGGACTCTTTTCAACCCCTCCCCCATCAGGCTCTATCTGTGAACCCCACAGACGCGTGGTCAGTGCACACTCTTGCCCACGTTCACGAGATGAAGGCGGAGATCAAGGACGGGTTAGACTTCATGCAGCGCTCAGAAGCCCACTGGAAGGTACGAGTCGGGTCGATGGGCCGTCTGCCTGGGAAATCATGTCCATCCCTTTAGCTAAGCCCAGGCCTGTGGACAGAAGTTACAGGTGCAGCTTAGCTGAGGGGAACTTGTGCTTGGGAGGCTGTTCCGTCGACCACAGTGACCCCTGGAGGCCACACGCCTCCCAACACCTGCGGGTATTTTGCAGGTGATTCTAGAATTGGTCTTGGCCTGAGGCATTGGGTGTAAAAGGAATGGATGAAAAAATTCCCAGGAAAACAGAGCCTGGCACAGGTGGGAACCATGAGGGCCCTGAGCTGCCCCCACCGGCCAGCGGGCTTGGCATGGAACCCAGGAGTGGGCTCAGGGAGTGCTCGGGCTTGCCGGGGGCCGACAGGGTGACGGCGAGGGGATGTGTCTGCAGGGCTGGCGCGCGGGGATAGGTGCTCTTGTGGGGCAGGGATGCTGGGACGTCACTGCTCCCACTCCTGGCGTCCCCAGCTGTGGTGGCCCGCCCTCCTCCATGTGCACCTGTTGTTCCCGGACCTGCGTCCGGCACAGCCTGGCCACCTGTCCAGGTGTGGTCTGCTGCCCTGCCTTTCTCTTTGCCATGTGGGTTCCCCAGGGCACTGCCAGCCAGGAGAGCAGATCTCTGCCCCGGCCTGGATGAGCGGCCGGTGCCCAGTGACTGAGCGAACCGCGGAGAGGCCAGGAAGCAGGTGTGGTCGCCTGCGTCCCCCAGCGGCTCCCTGGCCTGGGTCCCTGACTTACAGTGGTTAGACTTGGGGTTCTGTGAGAGAGATGCGCATAAAAACTTCATGACACGTTTGACACTTTATTGTAAAACAGGCTGATGTCAGATGATCGCATGCTCGAGGTGGGCTGCCCTGGGCCCGGAGGTTCAGAGTTTGATGCATTAAATAGATGCGTTCTCGACTTGGGGTGTTTTCAGCTGACGGTGGGTGTATTGGGGTGAGACCCTGTGTCAGTCCAGGAGCATCTGTAAGTTACGGGGAGGTGGGCTTCTGGCTTCTTGGCAGTGGTGTGGCTACGGCAGGCAGACAGGTGTGAGAGAGCGTTTGAGACCTGTGACCCGTGTGGCTCTCACTCAGGTCTTCCTAAGGGTCCCAAGGTCTGGGGATGGGAGAGCCTGGGGGGGGGGCCTGGGGGCGGTTCCTGCCTCGGGCTCCCGGCACAGACCCTGCTAGTCCCTGCAGGAGCACTGGGTCTCAGTGGGGGTCTCGGTGGGAGGAGCAGCATTGCCCCCTCCCGGCTGAGGTCAGGGGCTTATCCAGGCAGAACCTAGGGATGCGGGGGAGGCCTGGCCAGTGCCTTCCAGCTCATTCCATGCACACCCCCACCCCCAGGCTCTGATTTTACCGGGCTGGGTGTTGGAGGCCTGGCTTTATCCTGGGCATGAACTTGATCCCTCCGAGCCTCAGTTTCTTCATCTGTATACCTGCTGTTGTGACAACTCTGATGCCCTGGGCCCCAAGCAAGTTCTCTTGGGTGTTGGTTCCAAACGCATAAAATGAGGCAGCCCATGCTGGCTGGGGTCATCTCCCAGCGGGCTCTAGTCACCTGGCATCTTTGTCTGTCCCCTGCCATGTCTCTTGGCAGCCTCTGGCCTGGTAGGACAGCTCTGCAGCGGACGGTGCAGCCTGGGACTTGCTTTCTTCCTCCAGTCACTGCCCCAGGCTATGCCCTGCCCTGGGGACCCACTGAAAGTCCAGCCTGGACTTCTCTGTCCTCAAAAGACCTGGTCCAGGGGAGTGAGCAGCTTCCAGCAGTCCATGGACCACATCATGCCAGGGGCATTCTCGGGGAGGTGGAAACCCAGAGGAGGCATCTAACAGATTTGGGCTGGGGAGGGAAGTGGTCAGGGAAGGCTTCCTGGAGAAGGCATCCTTTGAGCCGAGTAATGAAGGGTGTGTAGGAGTTTGCCAGGTGAAGGGGGGGGAGATGGGCGGTATCCCAGCCAAAGACCAGCCTGAGCAAAGACACCAAGGCCTGTGGTGGCTGGGGAGGGGAGGGCAGCCGGGCAGTTTGGCGTCCTGGGGCACGCATGCAAAGTGGACATGGGCCACGGAGGAGGTGTTTTCAGTCCCCTTTCCAGGAGATGGGAGGTGGCGTCCAGGCCGAGGAGGGAGCGTCAGCAGTAGCCTCGTAGAGGGAAGGGCTGGCTCATGGTGGGGCCTGAAGCGAGCCAGCAGCAACGGTCCAGGAGTCAACCTACTCTGCTGCCCTCTGGGTTTTGCCAGGACCTGCGGGAGCTCCGCCCGGCTCCCTGGTCCCGGCGGCCCTCCCGGGGAGCCCTGCGCTGATTGCACACACTGCAGGCCCCTGCGCTGGGGGTGGATTTCTTGTTCATTGGATTTCTTCTCCACTCCACATGCAAGGAGGACTAGGCTAGAGGAGCTGGGGGACCTCTGTGTGGACCCGGGCTCTCCAGCTTCCCAGCCCGGGGCCCATGCACTGCCGGCAGCCCCCAGCCTCAGTTTCCCCGGCACTGAAGGAGATGGCGTGTGGGCGCCGCTCAGACCGGCCTGTGCCGGGTGCCGGGACGTGTTCCCCGCGCTCAGGGCTGTGGGGCTCTGCAAACAGCACCCGTTTCTTTTTTCCCTCCGACGCCGTCAGGTTTTTCTCTGATTCTGTCCTTCTCTCCCCAGGACTCTGATATGCTCGCTTGTCACAATTACTGGCACTGGGCTTTGTATCTGATTGAAAAGGTAAGATGACCAACCGGCTGTCTTACCCCGTGAAAATGTCCGGAGAAAGACATGCTTTTCCACCCTTTTCTGACCCTCGTATCCCGTGGAGAAGTATTTTATGTTTGCACATTTAAATGGTAAACGGTGTCTTCGTGCAAGAGAGCCTTCCTGTTTTTATTTTTAATTTTTTTTATTTTTTAAAATATATCTTTATTGATTTCAGAGAGAGGAAAGGAGAGGGAGAGAAAGAGAGAAACATCAATGATGAGAGAGTCATTGATCAAGCCCATAACCCGGGCATGTGCCCTGACTGGGAATTGAACCCCGAACGCCTGGATCCTAGGTTGACGCTCAACCCCTGAGCCACACCCGGCCGGCCGGGAAAGCCTTCCTGTTTTTAAATAGCTTTTTTTTTTTTTTTTGCTAATCCTTACCTGAGGGTATTTTTTCCACATTGATTGGTTGCCTCCTGCATGGGGTCAGGGATCGAACCTACAACCCAGGTACGTGCCCTTGACTGGAAATTGAACCTCGACTCTCCCGTGCGAGGGCCAGCGCTCTGACCACCCAGCCAGACCCACCGGGGCTCAAATGGCTTTTCAGGCTTAAACCGCTGCAGGCATTTTTCACTGTCTGCACTTGGAAATCTCAGGTGTCATGTGCAGTCAGACCAAGTGCCTCTGCTGCTGGGGTGGCCTGCTGAGCCCCAGCCCACGCACTGTACCCGCAGGAGCCACGGGACGCTCCCAGCGCTTTGCCCCAGGGGAGCCAGGTGCGGGGACGCCCTGGTCCCCAGTGATTCTGCTGCTGGTTCCCACTATGTGGGTGCTTCCTGCAGGCCTGTTTCTAATAGAGAAACTCTAGAAGGTCCCTCAGTGTCCCAAGAGAAACGCTTGGAAGGTGGGGACACGCTGCCCGGCTGAGAGCAGTGACCGCCACCGAGCGTGCAGCGAGGGAAACAGAGAAGAGGGAGCTGGCCGCAGGGGGACAAGCGTCGGGAAATAATGCTTTGACAGGCCCTGCCCTCAGCCGCGAGGCCGCTTCCGTCTCGCGTGACCGGAACGAAGCCCGGAGCAGAAGCGGGCCCAGGCTCCCGCCCCGAGGTCCGCGCTGGGCGCGCCCACGGCCTCTGACGGCGGGGGCCTCGGCCACCTCGCTCTCGGTTCCCTTCCCAGCGTCACCTCGCCCTCCCCGGCATTAACCGCGGCAACTTCATTTCCAGGGCGAGTATGAGGCCGCGCTGACCGTCTACGACGATCACGTAAGTCCACGTCCGCGCCCGGCTCGCTCGATTGCGCGGTTTGGCTTCTGGCCTCTAGACCTTTGGGCCCGGGCCAGACACAGCGGCTGGCGCGGGAGCGCGTCTTGGGTAAGACTCGGCGCGAGTTTCCACGGCCCGAGCGGTGGTGTAACCTGTGGGACGCGGACCTGCGCTCGGCTGTGCCCCCCCGGGCGTGACACACCGCGGTTGGTTGTCTGGAACCGCATCCTGTCCTTGTCATTTTCTGGAGACCGTCGATCTTCNGCCCGGGCCAGACACAGCGGCTGGCGCGGGAGCGCGTCTTGGGTAAGACTCGGCGCGAGTTTCCACGGCCCGAGCGGTGGTGTAACCTGTGGGACGCGGACCTGCGCTCGGCTGTGCCCCCCCCCGGANCGGCTGTGCCCCCCCGGGCGTGACACACCGCGGTTGGTTGTCTGGAACCGCATCCTGTCCTTGTCATTTTCTGGAGACCGTCGATCTTCCCAGAGGGGTTTTTTATTGTGGGAAAATGAACAGAACATAAAGCCCGCCATTTTAACCATTTTTAGGCGTCCAGTGCTGTGGCACCGGCCCATTCGCGTTGGTGGGCGTCTGACCCCACCGTCGCCTATGGAATTTTTTCACCTTCCCAGCTGAAACCCTGTGCCCGCTAAGCACTCATTCCCCCCCCCCCC